ACACTTTCCACGGTCTTAGGTCCGAGCTGCCCGAGCCGGACTTCCAATTGCTTGCGGGAGAGAAGGTGTGGATTGGTGTTCACCCAAAAGCTTTCGGTGGAGTCGCACGAAGGAGAGCTTGAGCTCATGGGATGTTCAGGATTGAATTGACTTGCTGAAACGGGTTTTGAGGATGTGAAGCATTCAGCGCTTGCGTGTTGCCGGTAGGTTTCACGAGCCAACCATTTGACGGATTCATCAAACATGGTCTCGGGCTCCTTGTTCGGAACAAGGAAGGATTCAGATTTCTGACCCTGTTCTAGTTGCTTGTGACTGCAGCTGCTTTGCCGGGTCTTGTTTTCAGTGGTGCCACCAACAAAGCCAACAACTACAGAAAACAGCAGCAAGAAGCACAAGCAACGGACAAACCAAGCCACAACTAGCAGCAAAACCACAAATGGACGTCAAGCGCCACTGAGTGAGAATTGGCTGACAACGTGACACGGCGCAACGCACCAACAGCGAATAGCAATCAGCAAAAAGAAGAAAAACAACATTTCATGCGACAACCGCCCCACCAAAGTCACGGCCGATTGCCAGCAACCAGCAGGCGCAGTTATTTAGAGAAAAGATCAGTTGGTACGGGCACGTATTTTCCATTCAGCATGTACATGTTCAACATAGCCCCTGAGTACATAGTGACATAGCAGACTTGTATGAGTTTCCCTCGGACACAGGGTCCACAAAAGCCAATCGGCCCACGCCGAAGACACTGCAGTTTTCAGGCTCAATCACACAAAAAGAAAGAAAAACACAAAAACACGAACACTGCACACACAGACACACATCCATGTACTGGATTCCATCGCCGGCCGCCCAAGCGGCCCAAGCGGGGCGCGCATGCGTCAGGTGGTGGGTGCCGTGAACGCCAGGCTCGTGAGCCCTTTGGAGGCCAGAGCCAAAAGATAGCCCAAGAGCGGTCTAGGTCCCCCAGCCAGGTGCTTTACCGTTTCTCTTTTTGGGGGGAGGGTTTCCCTAGACAGAAAAAAGTGGGTGCCCTTATTCTAAGCTCTCTACTGGAGGACCTAGTTGTTGAGGCCACTTTTCAGGTTGGTTCAAAGGGGAAAGAGGAACACGATTTGTTGGAGGTTTTGGAATTCGTCGTAGAATGTGAAGTGAATCCGGCTTTTCAAATTGCAGGGAAAGCAAACCAGACAATATGTTGAAATGCGTGAGATGGAGGTATAAGATGGAGAGACAGGAATGAGTGCATATTTTCTTCGGGTCTTTTGTGTGCAGCACAATTCAGGATGGCTTGGACTTTGGGCTCATGTGAGATTGCAAATCGTGGAATCTTGCGTTACACTTGATTGCAGATGTGTGTTTGTGTTCTTTGTGGGTACTGTTTCAAGGAAACGGGCAAACCATGACCGGGTCGCCCTGCTTTGACACATACCCGTATGGTTGTCTTCTTTTGTTTCTGAGTGCCTGTTTCTGGTGTCAGGACCTCGCCACGGGGCGTCTGTTTCCGCAACACCCACAGGTGCCATGGTCAGAAGACCCTTTACTTAGGGTTAAGAGGCATGGTCACCTGGTAGTAAGGATCCTGATCAACCATCATAATGATTCATGTTCAGGGACCATAACCATAGGCCACAAAAGCAGTTTCGACCATGGCTCAGATGCTTCCTTGTCTTCTTTTCGCGTTGCAAGAGCTCGCTGAACTTCAACCAGCTGCCATAAACTGGAAGAAACACGGACCGCACGGCCGATGGCAAACAACTCATGCGATGGGATGTCCGGGTTTGGTATATCAAAGCCTTAGGGCACCGATCCTTTAAACACGACATCCGACGTTTCGTCGAGCCGTGCACTTTCGGTGGCGTACACAGCCTGGGTCCGTGTGTGCTGCAAGCTGCAAGCAACATATGTCTTGGTTCCTATCCTGTAGCTGTTTGTTTCAATGTTCTTGGAGGTTTGACGATGCAAGCACCGCACTAAACAAACGTTTTGGATTCTGACGCATTGCGTGAGAATCCACATGTGCTGGGAACTTCAAAACAACTGTTATGTTCCTCCTGGCAGATTGTTTGACTGGCCACTCCGAACCACTCCGGAGCCCTTTTTCCTGTGCAGAGACCGCTCAGCTTCCAGCTGTTGGGGACAAACCATTACCAAGGGTCACTCCTGGCATGGCTGTGAGGGATTTACACATGGTCAGTCCTCAAAAACTGTGTGTAAACCGTCCACTCATGCTTGGCATATGTGGCGGTTTGAGCAGCAACTTGTCTTGGTCAGGTAGCAGGGCGGATCTGCATCACCCAGTGCGCCACGGGGCCTGCGGGAGAGCCATGTGCCTACTTGATGGGTTTCGAGCTCACCAATTCGAGGGTAAAATGAGCTCGCCGTGATGTAGGAAGGCAGGCGCTTTATTTGAAGACAATGTGAACTATTTTGGAATGTGCTGGTCCCTGTGCTAAGGATAATGATTTGGGCAGCGACTCGTGCATAAGTCTGTAAGTCAGGAAGAAGTCAGAGATTGAAAGCAGTGGCTTGAGAGAAAGTATAATAGGTACATGTAGCTGGTGCAGTGGTCAGTGGAACCCCATGCTGGCAGTGGGGAGAGATGGGCCCCGTCAAGTGAGCTAGGAGTATGTCCAGCTCGCCACATTTTGATGGCTGTCCAATGTCCGGCCTTCTTGCAGTCCATGTTTTGTATCCACGTCAAAAGCCACCACTGCCTTTCCGATTTGGAAGTGCTTTGTGCCATCTCTGCAGCAGCAGTGAAGCGATTCCTGTATGCTTGTGCCAGGCCAGCCGCTTCGATAGATCATTCCTAAATGTGCGATCCCATGGAAGCCTAGGCTATTGTTCAATGAGACCAAGCCATAAACAAGTTTGCTTTCAAAGTATTTCAAACCCAACATTATGGTCACATTGTGGCTGTTCGCAATGTTTTGCGTTTCGTATCGTCGCTGTCGCAGTGCTTTGTGTTATGTGTCGTCGCACGGAGTCATCTCGATGGCGGAATAGCCCCAGCCACTGAACTTGAAAGGTACCGCTTGAAGTTCATCCCGAATGCTTTGCGGGAGGACACTGCCAGTGCTGTGTGTGTGTTTTCTGGGGGACCCCTTTTTGGTGGGTTTTTAAGGCAAACAGGGCATCCAACCATTCAGGGAGGCTTCTAATTTTGAGACAAGTCTTGCTTTTGCAACCAATAAAGGTGACAAAGGCAGAGTAGTATCAGGAAAGTGTTGCGGAGCATTGCCTGGGCGGTGGTGGCGGGTACACGTTCTAGGATCAAGCATCAGGGGCAACCCTGACTCCTCTCGGGAGCGGCTTAAATACTCCCAAACAAAATATTGTTCTTGATGGGCTGGTTGCAGTTGGGACGAAGACTGAATCGAGAGATCCCTCATCAGCACTAATCTGCTGTGGTTTCGCTGCCATTGCAAAATGCGCCAGCACATGCATAACTCATGATTCCGAACATACAAACTGGCTGATCAGTTATGCTCATTATGTAATAGTGACACGCGCGTATTGGGCCACACATGTTTGTCTCATTTGCATTTGAGCTATCAGGCCCATCGAGTCCCATCTCAGGAGCTCAATGATCCGACGAATAGTTCATTCCCCCTGGGAGTTCCTTGAAAGTAGCTACATGCATGTGCATACCCGAACCGAGTGTATTTCAGCCGTGGCCCACATGCCTTGACAGCTGTCCTGCTCAACCCCTCATCACTGCAATGCCACTCCCATTTGTCGTATGAGGTGACCACCACTGATGAGACACTATTTATGGATGGTGTGTGCATGTCATACTATGTTATGCATATATATATATATTATATATATATGTATATTATATATATATATTCTATATATACATATATATATATATTATGTCCAAACACGTCCAGGGGCAGTCATGTTGAAGCTGCCTGGACTCCTTGATCAATGGTGCAGTGCATGTCACAAAGACTGCCGTTCTGGCCTGGCTTTCAGCTTGTTAGAGTTGCAGGAATACGCATGCGACAACGGGCCCAACATTGCGAGGTGTGCTCAACGTTTGCCCGAAACACTTGAGAGCAAGTGACAGCATGCTGCTCCAAGTGCAAGACGCTGCTCGCCGGCTGGCTCGGAGCTCAGTTCAAGGGAAGGCAAGATTGGAATGGATTGTACAGGTCAAGCTTCTATTTGTTTCTCCCTTCGGTATCCTGAATGTTGCAAGTCCGTAAGCATGGAAAGCCTCCACTTTACCGTGATATATCATGGTGTGGCGCTACTTCGGGCATCCGCCGGTCCGCAGCTTCAGCTTTCAAGCGAGAAACCATGCGACATGGGACACAGGGGGACACAGGCGCAGTCATTCGGATTTCAATCCTGTGGAAGCCCTGTGATGTGTTGAATATCATGCCCACGTTGGGCCTGCATATGATGTTCCAGGTTCACTTCCAAAAAACAAATGGTTGATGCGCCACTTGTGCATTTTTTTGCGCTGTCCAGACAGAGACTGAAAAGACAGGCCTTCGGGCCCTTTAAATCACTAAACATTGGGGAGGGATATACAGCTTCAGCTTGCGTGGCACCAAACAAATACCAATTAACGGCTGAAATTGTTTCACCTTTCTTTTCCGGGAGCTCTCAACTGGGAGACATTGGAACCATGTGATTGTGAGTCTCGTCATTCGCTGGAGAGAACCCGGTTGCAATGCTCGCATGGCAATCTCTATCTCCGTGGCATGGCTCATGCGCAAGCTGTAGCATTCTGAGCAATACGCCTCAACTTTGGGGGACCCAACCTCATTCATTCTGCCGGTTGTGTCGTTCTTCCCTCTCTTGTGTTTCTCATCGCGTGCCTTTTGGGGTCGATGGTGTCCCTTAGTTGTCGGTTTGGATTGGTGGTTTGGGTTTGGATTTGAACGGGTCCCTGGTTCGGAGGTAGAGGGTAGATGGGAAACTACCCCGTTTCACCAACAACAAGACACCAGTTCGTGGGAAGCCAATTTCGATCCTCTTCTCCGTATCGCCGCTTCCCCGGCGCATGAAGCCATTGAGCTTTCGCAATGGAAGCACCCATGGCGTATTTTGGCTTCGGCGCGCTTATGAACCGAGCCTCTCGTCTGAAGCCCAACTCCAACAGCTGACGCAGATCGGTTTATTGTTGTGGCAAGCAACGAGGTTTGCTTTTTTGCTACTAACGGCCTTGGGGGCCAAAACTGGAGGTGTGTTAGGGGGGTAGTTTTTGTTGCGGGGGGTGGGGGGTTAGGAGCAGTTTTAGGAACGAGACATCTCTCACAAAAACAAAACATTAAGTCATGGTTGTCGGAGCAAACGAGCAACTATGTACCCATCTACACTGTGAGAGTAGACTGCGAATCTGAGTTCCCCTGCAAGTCAAGGGTAATTATGACTAAACGCCTACGTGTCAAAATAGTGATTTGGACGCCCACAAGTGTGGTTTCCCTTTTGGTTTCCCTTTAAACCAACCTCAAACAGGGTGAACCAAAACACAAACCCAGGTATTCCTGGCAAGATCTCTCCCATGCGAGGTGTCTTTGCGCCTGCGGGGCGTGGTGCCCAGCGAAAGCCGTCCGGCGCTGCTGCGAAGGTTCCGACTGGTCTTTGGAGGACGCCACGGCATGGCAACGGTGGTGCCGGATGAGGAGAGCCAGGGTGGTGTCCCATACTATGGGTTTGTCTTTCTGTCGCACTACTTGTTTTGGAAAAAGGACAACCACAAGCTTGGGGGTACCCTAAAAAAGACACACCCATTGTTTTTGCCCAGATGATGAAATCCATGGTTTGTGCCGATAGGCAAAATAAATAAGCTTTGGGGTGATGTTTTTTGTTAAACTGCTGAAAGCTTTTGGTCGAGAAACTAAGCTTTGGGGTGGCTTGGAGCAGCTTTCTCCGGCGGGTTCCAGGGTGCGACAGGGGCTGTTGGGGATACCACCTGGGCTTATTTGTTTTGAAGGGCGCCCAAATTTACTTTGGGGATGGTTCGCCTTTTCTGAACCATCTATAGCGTAATTATGTTTGAGGATGTCAGCTTCTGATAAGGCCCATGTTTATATGTGTTTAGTAACTTGGGGTTGCCCACCCAGCCATCACGGAAGCTGCCGCTTCCATGTTAGAAAGAGGCTGCTCCGCCTGGGGCACCCGCGGTCGGCCATAGCCACAACTCCTGGGATTTAACTAAAAAATCCAGGGGGTCAGACTAGAGTTACTAGAGGTTTACATGCTGTTTGGGTGTGTTGAGTCTGGGTACGCTTTTACCTTGGTAATTATACAGGGAAGCTGAAGGACACCAACCTCCTTGTTTTGGTCCCCCGATTCTGACGCATAAAACCCCCGTACTTGTTTGGTAGAGACCGTCATCAGCCTCTTGAGAGGGCAACCATTGTAAAGCTTCCTATTGGGGTAGACCCATTTTCCAGGTTTGGATTTTGACTCAGACGGTTCCTCAAGGGGTCACCTGTAAAGTGGTTGCAGTTGACTTCGCCAAATTGCTTTGGTGTTTGCTACCTTGGACCAATGAGCAGCGCCCTGACACCCCGAATGACCCGGATAGATTGGGATGGTAAAACAAGCCCCCATTTGCCAATTACTGTTGGACCCCCAAAATGGATTTGTGTGTTTCTGTCTCCTTTTATACCAACCTGACAAGGCTCTATATACCCTCAAAAAACACACAGAGACACACAATCCGGATGTACACCCTTCTTTGAATCCCTAGTATGCAAACTTTTAGTGCTAGCCAAGCACCATGCCCGAAAGAGCAACGTGGCTAAGCGATTCGCAGGCTTCCTTTGTGCAGGGGGTGCTGCACATGGTGACCCCAGCCCAGAAGGCCTCGGGGGAAAAAAACAACAACTGATCAATCAGCGCCTGACCCTCCCCCTAGTGGCCATTGTATCTGGTTCTACCTGGTTATCTTTATGACCTTCTTGATACCAAGAGTCAAAGGGTGTTGGGCGCTATTTTAGTGAGGTTCAGCAAGTTGTTTGAAGCCACCCTCGTTCTGGCTCGGCATGTAGCACGTGACTGCCGGTGCTGTGGTCTGGGCAGGTGTGGCCCAGTCAATGTCTGTGGCTAGTAGTCGCGTGTCAAGTGCAAACGATGGCCTTCAACACGCCTCTCACGCCAAAAGGGCCATGAGTTGACTGCGCTTGTGTGAATAAAGATGCTGTCAGACCTGTCTGAACAATTTTGAGAGCTTGGCGGAGAGTGGCAAGTAAAAGTAGCAGCAAGCGGCGGTGTTGGTGGTTTCCTGTACTCCAATCAAGTACTGCGTGAGAAGCTTCAATGGGTTAGAGCCCTAGTGATTGAGTCTGCACTTCTGGGTGAGTTGCTTTGACTGTGTCTGAGAAATCACAGTCAACAGTCAGAACCTGCCACCGACTGACTTTGACATTATCGGGCTTCTCAGTATGAGGTTTCCAGCAGTTGGAACAACAGTTACCATGGTTTCGGAACCATTGGAACCATGTGGAAACCACTGTATGGATTCCGAGCATGTTTTTCCTACCTTTGGGACACTGCTTCCCGAACCTTGCGCAATTTGGAACTGGTATCCTAGCAGTGGTCGGACCTGGTTAATCGAATTTTTTGTCAACAAATGGGAGTTGGAGACAGGTCATTTTACCACTCCATCCTTGGCTAGGATTTTTAAGGGGGAATTCCCTCAATGTTCGGTGGAACCCAACCCACCTGAGGATCCCCAGCGAGTACTTGGAACCCAACCCACCAAAGGATCCCCAACTAGCCTAATTGCATTTGTTTTTAACCGGATGGCTACAAAGGTCGCTACGGGAGCCTCGCTAGCCCCATAAACCCCAATTTGTTTTGGCAGGCACAGCTGGATGCCAGCGAGGCTTCCTACGAGCGTCGGCTGTTGGAGGTGGAAGTGGGTGACGAAAAGGCGCACGGTGAATGAAGAACATAGGTCCGCCGTTGTCTAGGTCCCCCACTATTGCCCTTTTACCGTTTCTTTTTTGCGGAGGGTTCCCCTACTAAAATAGACTACAGAAAAAAGTTGCTACCCTTATTCTAACCTCTCTACTGGAGGCTATAGTTGTTGTTGTTTTTTGTTCGGTGAGTTTGGGTAGATATATATACATGGGTTCCATAGGTTTTGTCCTTTTCTTGTTCCATTTACCCTTGCCTAGACTTTTCCAGGTCACGTCCTGTGCTTAAGGCTCGGTACACTTTTGTGGGCTTGAAGAGAAACTACAAAGGAAACCGAAATCCATTTTGGGGGCTCCCTGTGTTCTTTAGGGAACCCCCTTAGGAAGATAATAAGCTCAGGTGATATCCCCAACAGCATGCGGCGCTCTTTTTCGACCCTCGCAGGCGAAGCTTTACCCCTCAGAACCCTCGCAGAACCGTGAATCCCTACCCCGAACCTCCCAAACCTCCAAAGCCTGCTACTCCAGAACCTGGCTCGGGCCTCACACCAGAATCCAAAACAAACAGCCGCCAGACCACCGAACTGCCGGAACCTTGCTTGAACCTGAGAAAGGTCCAGAACCTTCCTTGACCCTTACATCTGGCCTGCACCAGACCACCCCGAAACTTCTTAGTTAAACCTTACCTGGCTGCGCCAGCCACCCGGAACCTCCCCGAAACCTCCGCAACCTTCCTTGAACCTTACACCTTGCCTTCACCAGACCACCCCGGAACCTCCGGAACTTCCCTTGAACCTTTCACATGGCCTACACGGGACCACCCCGAAGCCTCCGGAACCTTCCTTGCAGACCGAACTTGAACCTTGCACCCCGGAACCTCCGGAACCTTGCTCGAACCTGACTCCAAAGCTCCCCCGAGCCACCCCCAAACCTTATCTGGGCTGAGACCCCTTAGCTTTCAGCTGTTGGGAAAAAGAAAGCCCACCCATTTTGGGGGGTCCACTAAAATAAGACACACCCGTATGTGCTTATTTGGTTCAGAACCGAGGTAGAGGCGTGATTGAAGATTGGGATTGAGGACCAATTCCAACATAAAGTGCTAAAGTAGTCATGAGAATCAACCACATCGGTTTCAGAAAGGGTTATATACAGGAGTCAGTGGATGTCTCGTTCAAAGGTTGCAATTTGGTGGTGGTTTCCATTGAAGCCGATCCACTGTTGGAGCTTCCAAAAGGGGAAATGGAGGGAGCCCTGCACTTTGCCCGAGCCCTCAATCTACCAAAACGGGGATGGGAACAACTCCCCTGGTTTCGCAGAAAGATGGTGGGCTACGACAAGGTGCCCTGCACGGTGAACGTCATGCGCCCAAAGATCTTGGAGGACTCGCAGCGAGGTTTCGGGGGCTTCTCGACATGGGGAGTTTCTTAAAAATGGTGAAGCCCATTTTGCGTGATGTGCAAAGGGAAACACAGGGACCCACCCAGTTTAGGGGACCCCCTATCTAGAGAAATCACCCAGAGGTCCCCTTGAGGTGCTTGATCTTCTTTTGGTTTCTTCAAGCTTCAAACCATCCAACAGGACCCCTATCTTAAGAAGGGTGCCCTTGGAATTTAGCAACAGCTGTCATGGCCTAGCGGTTCTTTACAGTCCCTGCCCCATCTCTTCTTTTGCTCCTCTATCATTTTGCTCTCGGAGAGGGGAGAGATATGTGCCTGGCTATCGCATGATACGCAAAGGGCAGCTTGTACGTATCTATTGGACACACAAAAAGGGTTTGTATTTTCCTGGTACAAGTGATTTAAGCCATCGCAAAGGAGCGCATATTTTGCGTACTTTGCAGGTTATATAACTGCAGAATCAACCGGACAGTCGTTCTGATCAACGGCTTCTGGTGCTTGCGCCTGCGGCCTCCGCTTCAAAGACGTGAAAGCGGCTGGCTTGTTTCTTGTCGGCTCCCAGCCAAATCAGAGTTCTGTGTTGTTGACAGTTCCCAAGAGATGTTTGGCTTCTCATAATCTATATGGACGTGTTTGTTCGTCTCTTCGGCTTTTCGGATTTTAAAGTTTACCGGGATGAATGGCAGATCCCAATACTTGCAAAGGGATCAACAAATCACCTAGTTTGCAGAGGCGTGGGCGCAAAGGAAGCCCAAGGCCGCTCTATTCTGAGACACACCCATACACGCAGAGAAGTGCGCCGACAAATCAGCTCAGCGTTCTGAAGGTCCCCTGTCAAAGCGAACTCGGAAAAATGGAGGATCCCAGCCATTGCAGGTGTGTGGCACTCGAATCCACGAATGCTTCCTGTTGTGGATCGTAAGGCAAGGTTAGCCTTTCCGGACAGAATTATAGGACTGAATTTGGATGGGGCATGCTGACTCGCTCTTCAAAGTCAGATGAGAAACAATGGGCTACTTACGGGAAATGCGTCAGGACTTTGAGGAGACTCTGCCTTCTGAGCGATACCTTGCCGTCATGATCGAGGGCTGTGAGCAGCATGGCCTCACCAGCTTGGCAGCAGCTCGGAAAGGACGCAGCATGCCAAAGCTTGAAGGTCATCATGGAGCTATTTGCAAGTCACGAGTCACGGTGTTCATTGGCAAGCGTTGTTGTTGGCTACTTGAGTGGGCCTCGTGGTCGAAATAGTGAGGCATTGTTGCTCTTGTATGTTGAAGGAGAGCCTGTGTGGTCATGGCTTGGAGTCATGCATATTTTATGTTTCGTCTCAGGCGGGGAAAACGTATAGCTTCGTTTTCAGGTCAGACATGAGCAGAGAGGGAGAGAGAGAGAGAGAGAGAGAGAGGAGAGAGACAGGTCAGGTCAGGTTTGTTTTTGTAGGGTTGGTGTAGTTTTGGTTAAACAACCAGCCCTTCGTAAAGGGATCCCAAACAAGATTGTTTGAAGAAACAGATGGTTCAAACCATGGCTCAAATGGCTATGGGTCAAAAATAAGTACCCATTTTGGGAACCCTGGTAAATGGAAACATGGACTAAAACCTACGGTCCCTGGCGGTTTAATTTTGACCCATACCCAAATGTTTTGTTTTTCCGCGCCGTCAGCGCTCAGGATAGGCTGCGGAAGCAACGTTGCGTGCCGAGGGTGCCGCCACAGCGCTACTTGACCTTCGGGGAGCCGCTGGAGCAAAAGATGGTCGGAGACGAGCTGGCGGAGCTAGGCCTGCCGTATGAGTCGCCCAAAACCCATTCCTTATTGGCCATCTTGGGTGGCTCCACCTGGTTTCACTGGGTTTTATAGTATATAAGGCCGGTGTCTTTGTTGAGGGTACCCCTTTTCACCCTTTTTTGGTGGTTTTAGCGATGCCGATGGCCTACCCGGAGCTGGCTTCATCCAGCACCAATCGTTTCCGCCACCAATTTGGGCGGGGGGGGGGGGGGGGTTGTCCTAACCCCACACAAAAAGAAAGAAACGTAGCTTCTGGTTCATGTCAGCTCAGTCACAATGGATGTTTGAACCGGCATGGTCAGCAAGGAACGTTCATACTTAGATGTAGCACTGTGATTTGACGATTTGACGATACTTCCAAAACCCACAAGCATGCACACTTGATTTTGAGGGTAGACACGCTGCCTCCAAATTTGGCTTGCGTGGTTTGGCCATTCGTTGCTCCGAGCCTCAATACAATGAGGGTAGAAAGTTGTAATTGGGTCCTATTGGTGTCCCTTTCCGACCAAACTCCTGTGATCAGCTCGTAGGATAGCACCGAAGGCGTCAACCGCTTGCCTTGAGGTCCGTGCGCTTTTGCCATCAACGGCAAGGTCTGCGTGGCAAAGCCGGACGCGGGCGAGCACGTGCTGCGGCAGATTGAAGAGTATGGTCCAGGCAAGGCTGCGAAAGCCCTGCTTGGTCTTTACGGCTATTTGGTTAGATCTTTGGACTTCAATTGTTTGACTTTTTGGGAAGCAATGGGTTTCCATTGAACCAACTGGTTGACGCACTTTTGACTCAGCTTATTCGAGATGCGCGCCGTTGAAGATTTGGTGCAAGGTCAGGCCTGAGCTTCTTTGAGAGAAGCTCAGACTGCAACTTAACTCAACAAGACAGAAATTGCACCTTTGAGATGTGGTCCGGCAGTCTGCTCAACTGCCGGGAAACCAGTCGCTTTTTGTTGCCCAGCTCTTTGCCTTTGTGAAGAGCCCATTTCGCCAGTTCTCACCAGTCTTTATTCCATACATGGTTTCTCCACAAGCTGTTGGCCCCTTCACGATGACATAGGCAAAAGATACGCGATGTGGATTCCACCTCCGCATTGTGTGCATCAGCCCTCTTTGATTTGTCCAATGGAAGGGTGCTTCCAGCCCCTCAGCCACAGTGTGCAAGCCTTTGGGTTTCTCGTTGCTCGGGCACCTGTCGCCAATTGCCCCGTGGATTCCACTCTTTTTTCAGGGGGTTCCCTCTAAAATCAACCAGCCCCAAAACTGGTTCCCTCCTTCCCCAAAACATCCGCGCGCCTTTCGCTCGATTCCATTTTCGAAGAGTCGGGCCGAAGGCTTTCGACGCAGGCAGAGACCACACGACGCTGGTGGCCCGGGAGTACTACGAGCCTTTGCTCGGGGAGCCCTCGGAGCTCCGCCTGTCGCGTCAGCACCAGGCCTTCTGCGAGCATCAGCTGGTGCCCTGGTGTCTCAATCGACCGGACCTTTGGGGCTTTTTCCGTTTTGGCACCCAAAAGGTGACCACCTTCTATGTCTGGGTTTTTTGGAGTATCCACCTGAACCTTCCCCTCTCAAATATGTCTTCCTCTTGGTCTGGCACTACCTTTGTCCATATTGCATCTTTGGAGCCTAAGGGAACCAATGGTCCCAGTTTCATCGTTAGAAGAGGTATCAACAAAAGATGTCTGGATTTCCCCTGAAAGGGACCCCTAGGGTTCAACCCCCATCAAAAGAAAGGTTGACCCAATTCGGATGATGACAATCCTTATGTAAAGAATCGTGGTTATATGAACCCCCATTGTTTTGGTGGTTTGAACCCCAGGGGGAGTGGTGTTGTACGCCAGACTCCCAATGGCAATGGTGTCTGATCAGTTCGGGTAGCTCAAGGGACCAGGTGCCTCTGTTTTTTAGCAAAAAGAGGGGTACCAACTCAAAAAAGCACAGCCATGTATGTGTGTGTGTGTGTGTGTGTGTCGCACCTTAGAACCCATGTTAGAACTCATTTCAGGCCACGCATCTTTTGTCAGGATACCTTTTGCGGGTTCCTGCAAGACGAAACCAAAAGCCATTGTTGGGGCGCCTGTTTTGACACCCACATTTGCTGTGATTTACTTTTGGGATTGCTAAGATGATCCAAAAAAGCTTTAGGACTATGTAGCAGTAGTGCGAAACTAAAATTCAAGACAGTAGATCCCCGATCTACGGTTGTTTCACATTCTTTCCCAAACAGTAAATCACAAGCTTATATCCCTACCCCTTCCCAAGGACACGCGGTGACACGCAGGTGACACGGGGCGACACGGGGTGACACGCTAAAGCTACTGTTGTTCGCAGCGATATACTGTTGTTCTAGCATACTGACACGGGGGCGACACGGGGTGACACGGTCTGACAAGAAAGCGAAAGGAAAGCGACACGGGGGTGACACGCAGGTGACACGGGGTGACACGCAGGTGACACAGGGTGACACGCTGTGAGGCGCTTGCTGCACTTGGTGCCACCTGCAGTAGTTAGACTATGGGCATCCTGAAATAAAGCAGTTAACAGTATCTGTTCTAATTCCGGCCTTTGTTTTGAACATTTCTATCTACTGCCCAGGGGGCACTAGATAGGGCAGTAGATGGGGGTTGCCGTTTATTATTTTATCAATTAGTTTCAATCCCTTTTTCTCTACCGCCTGCCGCGGTAACCCTGATGACTAAACAAAAGAGAATCAGAGAGGAAAGAAGATCCATAAAACCATTAAATCTCATTTTGGTCGGCCACATGAACTGCAAAATGTTCCAAGTCTTGCAAGCAGCTTGCCCGAGTGGTTCCTCTTTAGTATTAGCTTTTTGGTTAATCCGTATGTTTTTTCTCCAAATGACGTGATGCTTCTTGGGACACGTGCTTGCCGCGACCACAAAGTTTGATCGCAGCGAACGCTATTGACTTAGAGGTGGACACTGCTAATTCATGCAGTAGACCCCCACTAAAATGGTGGGCACCCCCTTTTGGTTTCTCTTAAGCCCAACCTCAAAAAGGCTGCCCTCAAACAAAGACACAAACCCACCCACCCATGCACGCACACACGCACACCTTTGAACACTCTTTCCGAAGCTGTGTTAGTCTGGCATCCCAGGTCAAGCAGTACGGAGCTGAGAACATTGAGGTGATTGCTTGGACAAAAATGCCACGTGCGGGGGTGGGGTTCGGGTGGAATGGTTTGCCTCGCTCAGCTAGAAAAAGACGCCTTTTTAACCCAAGTGCGCGGGATGCCTTGCTTCTGATCCAGGCTGTCACTGAATTAAAGGATGTCTGGACAGGTCACCCCTTTTGCAAGCCTTGAGCCATAAGCCAGAGAAAGCTGAGCAAATGAGAGAGGAGGGTTACATGCAGGACCTGACAGGTAGTCCCTTGAGTCAACGATATGTCTCTGCCATCAATGCTTGACCATCGCAACTGGCGCACCGAACATGTTGGCGTCGTGATTAAAGGCAACTACTCGTAGGGAATGCAAGCCATGCAGGCTTGGGCATCTCTATAGAAACAACCATACTCACCCAAAATTGGAAACATATGGCCGTGGGTCAACACCAATGGTACCATTTTGGGGTAGGTGCATCACCAATTTTTGTCTATTTTATTGGGGATTGGGATGTTCGCTGGGGGTTCGGGGTTTTGACCCATAGCCATATTGCAACAAAGCTCGACCCCGTACTGCGATGCTCGCGACTTTCGCGGACCCTGCCAATCCCGAACGTGTAGAGTGCATGCGGAGTTTGATTGCAATTGCTCATTGCGATCTGCAAGTTCAGACCGAATTAGCAAAGTTCAATGTTGACAACATCGGAGGAGGCCGCAGAGAAATGCCTCCATGTCGAATCAGCAAGTATTTCTCAAGCACGTTGACATGCCAGGGGGTGCGTATCAGTTCAATGATGCGGGAAAGGAACACATTGAAGGTCTAAGAAAGGGAGGGCTTGAGAAAAAGAGAGACACAATCGGACAGGAGATGTATTTGTCATGAGGCTGGCAGTGGGACAATCGGAAGATAAGCACATTCAGGTTCTATGTCATATTATTTTGTCAGGTTGGATTTTTGATAAGTTCACTTGCCCCTCTTCGGTTGTGGCTCAGCCCCTTGCAGCATCTCGCGATTGTATTTGTTCAACCTGCGGCTCACTGAGGCCGTGCAACGGCGCTGGGCGCAGGGGTGCTCGGAAGTTGCTTTGATGGGCTTAGGGGAGTGTGGGTACATGCTGGCAAAACTGACTTGGTCAAGAAAATGTGTTCAAGACGGAATGATGGAAAGCGACATGAATCTAGAGCGGTACGTCGGGAGCATGAGATCCCTTGACGAATGTCAGCGAGATGGGCGTCAAGCCCGTGACAGCCTGAACTGAGCATGTATGGTCAGAATGCACCACCACATTCCTTCACGGCCATGTTGAGGCTCGATTTGGATTAATTGCACTGCCAACAAGTGGGCGCTAGCAAATCGCGGATTGATTGGAGCGGTGCCACTGGACTCTTCCCGTGAGACCAAAATGCAGAAGACAACGCCGCAAATGAGTGCATTGTAAAATGTAAGTGCTTTCTGCAGCACCGCAGTGCGTTTAGTTCAGATGTGGGGAGGCAGCAACCAACTGAACGCTCTGGCATTCTGCCCGGCTGTTCAGAGCCACCGGTTGTCCACCCCAAGAAAGATCAACTGAACCTCAACAGCCACAGGGCGGTTCAGATGATTTGAATTTTCCGTGTTGTTTGGCTTTAAATGTGATCAACTACCCTCCCCCAAACATGGAAGCTCCCCAAACCCCTTTGGAAGATTTGGTTCCATTTAGGCCTTCTGGGAGCTTCCATGTTAGCCTGAGGGAGTGTAAACCGCAAAACAACCTTTTCCGTGTTGCTTGGCGTTAAATGTGATCAACTAAACCCCACAAAACACAAGCCCCAAAAAACCATGTTCCGTGTTGTTTGGCTTTAAATGTGATCAACTACCCTCCCCCAAACATGGAAGCTCCCCAAACCCCTTTGGAAGATTTGGTTCCATTTAGGCCTTCTGGGAGCTTCCATGTTAGTCTGAGGGAGTGTAAACCGCAAAACAACCTTTTCCGTGTTGCTTGGCTTTAAATGTGATCAACTAAACCCCACAAAACACAAGCCCCAAAAAACCATGTTCCGTGTTGTTTGGCTTTAAATGTGATCAACTACCCTCCCCCAAACATGGAAGCTCCCCAAACCCCTCTGGAAGATTTGGTTCCATTTAGGCCTTCTGGGAGCTTCCATGTTAGTCTGAGGGAGTGTAAACCGCAAAACAACCTTTTCCGTGTTGCTTGGCGTTAAATGTGATCAACTAAACCCCACAAAACACAAGCCCCAAAAAACCATGTTCCGTGTTGTTTGGCTTTAAATGTGATCAACTACCCTCCCCCAAACATGGAAGCTCCCCAAACCCCTTTGGAAGATTTGGTTCCATTTAGGCCTTCTGGGAGCTTCCATGTTAGTCTGAGGGAGTGTAAACCGCAAAACAACCTTTTCCGTGTTGCTTGGCTTTAAATGTGATCAACTAAACCCCACAAAACACAAGCCCCAAAAAACCATGTTCCGTGTTGTTTGGCTTTAAATGTGATCAACTACCCTCCCCCAAACATGGAAGCTCCCCAAACCCCTTTGGAAGATTTGGTTCCATTTAGGCCTTCTGGGAGCTTCCATGTTAGTCTGAGGGAGTGTAAACCGCAAAACAACCTTTTCCGTGTTGCTTGGCTTTAAATGTGATCAACTAAGCCCCACAAAGACACCAACCCCAAAAAGCCACGCAGCATTCTGCTACCATCACATTTCTGGGCTGAGGTCCAAGTCCTCGAAGCACACCAGGTTCCCAGTTTCGCCGGAAGCTCGGTCCGGTTGCTGAAATTGGGAAGGGGAGAGTTTTTGGTCCGGTCCGCACAGAAGGTGTGTGTTGAGGCTCACAACACTGATCATCTTCTTGTTGTGCACTGAAGTCAGAGCATTGATTTCTTGTAGGGATTCTTTTCGAGGGTTTGGAAGTCAAAGTCGGTAGCCAGTGCAAGTGCAAGTGTGGTTTCATTCACTGCCGTTGACGTTGATCGCGATCTCGGGAAGCTTGAGTGTGGACGGCTTGGAAACGAGTCTTGGGTGCAGTATGCAGAATCCGAGTCCGGGCCTCCTCCACAACTATTTTATATCTTGGGTAGACGGTAGACTAACCAAAATTGAAACAGGCCAATTATGTTTTTGGAGTATCCCAGATGTGGGCCAAGTATTGGAGTGTTGTGTGAAACTCACTCCCACTGGTAAAGCCAAAGTGATAGAAGTTCTGCCTTTGGCCTGATAGACTTGTCCCGTTCTCTTGCCGGAACTTTGGGCTGCCTGGCGTGAGAGTATCAGATCAGGGTGATGCAAGGATACAAGCATTGAGCTGAGGACTGAGATGAGTCATGTTCATTTCCATTGGGAACACTTTTTGCTGATATGCGTTGTGTATGTTCCTTCATATCTGATTCTGTAATTTAGTGTGACTGTCCCTAAAACTGATGTGAGTCAGAGGCTTGTGATTTGCTTAAGGTGCGGTGTGTTTGAGGTTGAGTCAAGTGTTGCTCACACGGAACATCGAACACATGTCTAAGTTTCTTTGTCTGGCGGACGGTTTCCGTCAAGATTTGGAAGCACTCGAACCTGCAACCCCCTCCCTGCCTAGGTTAGGAAGGCATGCTGCTACTTACATAGATCACAGAGGGTTGGTTGAAATTCGACCTGTCAGCCTGGTTCTCATAGGGACCCTCAATCGCTGGTTGTCCTTTCTGCCAATATGGGTCTATCTTTTTTGAGGGTACCCGTTTGTCGGTGGTTTCAAAGGGAAACCAAAAGGACCACCACCATTTGTCTGGGGTCCACGAAACAATACACATCTAGGGGTAGCTTCCCCATTCTTTCCAGGGATCCTTCTTTCTAGAAAACCACCCAAAACTCTGGGGAAATGGTGATCGGTTTTCGAAAAGAAGGATGGCTGAAAAGAATGGACAAGGAATCGACCCCTAGAGGTTCAGGTGGATACTCCAACAACCCAGACATAAAAGGTGTGCACCTTTTGGGCACCAAAACGGAAACAATACACACCCATTTGTCGCCATAGGGAGCCTCATCCTCCAGATCGATCGGAGGCCTCGCTTCAAGCAGAAGGACTTTGGACTGGAGTGGCCCGGCAGCTCGGATTCCATTTCAAGATTTCCTCATGGGGAGACAAATGGAATTGGGGGACCCCCCACCCGAAAACCGAACAAAGTAATCATGGTTGAATCAACCACTAAAAGGCATTACAGAAAGGGTTCCATATGGCTGTGGTTGTCAGAACCGTTTTGGGATCCCATTTTGGTTGGTAAATTCACCACCCATTTTAGAATCTATTTTAGTGGTTGGATTGGGATGTCCCTGGTGGTATGGGACTTTGACCCATTGACATATTTCCTCTTTATGGGGAGATAAATGGAATTGGGGGACCCCCCACCCTCCCCCTCAAGGTAGGGCGGATAAGGTATTCTTCACACGAATTCTGCTGGACTAGATGTGAGAACTCAAACAAAAACACGTGAACATCAAATGACTCCCAGTGAGAAGTCCAAGAAGCCGTTCAAATCAGATGACTCCCATTCACTGGTGGGTTTTTTGGCTGAAAGACATTTGTGCATTGGGATAAAGGCCACCAGCAAGTGATCACTACGAGGCGGTTGGTCCCCTTGGAGTCACCGAAGCAACGTCGGGGCCCCGCTCGTCCAGCCGAGAAAGACATCATACCGAGGGTATCTCTAGCAGCAATAAGAACAACCACTGCAAAGCACAGCAATTCGAAGGCACGATGACAACTACCCCGCCTGCCTATGCATGCCTTCCAATGAGGGAGTTGTCCCAGGCCAGCGCCAGCTCTTAGATCGCAACAGGCTGCTAAGATACAAGAAAGGCGGTCTGATGTCAAGCGGTTGGCCATGTAAACCATCGCCCAGTTTCGACTAGGCGAAAGGAAGCCACCATTTTGTTTGGGGGGAGGGATGATGCTCAGGTGGATAATACAAGTACTCCTCTCTGGCCAATGCAGGAGAATCGCTTTCTTGTCAATCGGGGCTTGGGCCGTTCAATCGGAATCGTCTTGGTGACGCACGACATGGGCAGCACAAACTCACCCTCACCAGATTGGATTGTGCTGGCACGAGTGCCAACATGTTCGCAATGGAAGCTCCGGCGTTGTCACGTCGCCTATTGCGCGCGCCGCAATTCGCAAGGCGGGAGCAGCCCGGGTTTGCTGGGGGCAGAGGGCAATGTTTCAAATGAAAGGCCGTTTTTTTTGTTCGACAGTCACGACAACCAAAGCAGCTTCAGCATGCGCCATTCCTCAAACAATTCCAAACCCAGCCTGAACCAACCCTAAGCCACCCCTAAACCAACCCTAAACCAACACCAAACTCAGCGAAGTCCGATTCGAAGCCCAGCCTCAAACAACCCTAAACCACTCCGAAAGCAACCCAAAACCAAGCCTATACCCACCCTTAGCCAAACCTAAACCCTGCACAGACATACCCTAAAACAACTCTAAACCGTCCTTAAACCAACCACACACCCACCTGAACCAACCCTTATCCTACACTCACCGTGAAAACCCTAAACCAAGCCCAAACCACCCTTGCTGTAGCCTTCGGCCACAAAAAATGGAGGGTGAAAGGGACAAAGTCGCGCGTTAGAAGCAAAGGGCGGAGGGTAAGACAAAGCAGAACAGGGCACTATGGGAGCGCCTCTGTCCATGCCTATTGAACGTATTGTTTGCTGTTCCACTGCATCTGTGTATTTCCCGCTCCTGCCGTGCCTTTGTGTACTTGCAGATACATGGTAAACTAAGTGCGACCAAGAAGCCTCGGGAAGCCCGAGAAAAAAGAAGAAGCAAACTAAAAAGAGAACACTGTTCAGACACTCTTTCCCTCCTTGGCCACTCACTGTGCCAAGGGAACGGGAGAAGTTCTTTGATTTGTGTTATTGTTTTTGGGTTTGGTTTCGTGTTTTGCACTTACATTCACAAATTCCAAGACCAAAGTGATTTTGCCAAAAAGTCGTATGTGCAAGTTGACTCTCTCACAGGACAGGCGTTGTCATACTAGGAAGCAATAGCTTTTAAGAACACTTAAAGGTTTATGCCGCTCAGAATTGCGCTGTGACGGTGGTCTAAACCTCTCAATTTGTCAAAGGGGAAGCTATAACCACAAGGGCTATGAATACGCTGGCACGAATAAACAACATACAGTGACAAGTATATAACAATGCACAACTTTGACAAGTACAATATTAACCATATGCAAATTCAGTGATGGGATAACCGATGCTGCACTACAATGTATTGAACAAGATCGCGTTGGCACTCTCGCAGTTTCCCTCCAAAAAAGTAGGGGGGAGGGTCAAATAAAAAGGGTAAAGGGTCGAACTACAAACCTGTGTCAATGTCTTGTTTTCTGCCCATTCTGGAAAACCTCGGCTGACAAAGACAGGCATATGGATAGCATGGAATTGGCAAACGTATACCTGGACCCTCAAATCCTGTTGGGGCAATAACCAGTTTTTAAGGGTAGATTGACGGTTTAGGTAGGCTGCTGCATCTTTTTCGGGTGATGGTGGGCCCAATAAATCAGTCGGGCGGGTTGGGGGGGGGTTCCTGCCTGAATTTGAGCGTGTTACTCCAATCGCACAACGTGTTTGTCTCACAGCCTTGAATAGAAAATATAATGGGTAACAAACCCTCGGTTGATGAATAGGTGGTGTCCCCTCTGAGTGGGATTTCTTCACTTTTGTAGGTCAGACCCCCCTATTACTGGGACGGTCTTATAGGGTTGCCACGCACAAGTCAGATCTTCGCAGGTCCCAGGCTGTTGCTACGCCAGGCCTTCAAAACGAGATTGGCTCCCCAGGTCCTTCCCCACCCAATGAGGGCTTGTCAAAAGCAGAGTCCTTCCAGATCCATTAGAACTCATTTTGTGGCCCCCCAGACACCCATCCGATTCAAAAATCATCAACACTTCGACCAGGAACACATCCAAGAGCCCGACGACAAATTCACTGGGCTGCTGTTGCCTCACAATTTCTCTCACCAGATTTGTTTATTTTCAAGGAAATGCCATCCCAAGAGCACGAACAAACTACATAATTCTAACAGGGCGTCCACTACCCCCAAGCCACTATCAGGAAGGAACGCAATATACATACATATGTATCATATACCCACATATATATATTATATATATATATATATGTGTCAGCGTGTAGACACACAATGGATACAATTATGCGTGTTTTTTTTTACCCCAGGGGCGGTTCTTTGCGGGCGGAGGAACCAAAACGGACGCCATTCCAATCCCATGGCAGTCATAGAGATGGTCAACTTCAGTATCAGCGATTGCACCACGATGCAAGTAGATGGCACAAGCCCCCTTTATGTCGGCAAGCCGGGATGACGAACTCAAAATGTGGGAGTTGCGCCTGGCTTAAGGAACTCCAACTCCAGTTCCTTTTGGCCCCAAACCAAGTGACACCCACTCCGAAGCATCTACTTTCACCCAGCTCTATTTCCCATAGCCATGCCGCTCTTCGCAGGCACGCCGCTCGCGCCCAAAGGCGGGCGCCCCCGCTCTTCACGGCGACGCTTTTCACGGCGCCCTTTGCGCGCTGGGCCAGCGGCGTTCGTCTCAGGCCGAAGGCGAAGGCGGGGATCGTGTCAGGCCAAGTCGCCAGGTCTAAGGTCAAAAGTCTCTATCCCCATTGCTTCAAAAGTCAGTTTCAACGACATGCCATGCCTCGCCCTTGGGGCAACTCCTGTTCTTTGTTTTGCTTTGTTCTTGTTTCTTTCTTTTTTTGGCGGATGTGTTGCCTTCAGGCCCGCGATGTCGACCCCATTTCGCAAGCGCTGCGTGTGGCCCTTGCCAACTTCAAGGACAGCTGTGAGTGGCGGAAGTTGAGTGGTCTTGTAGGGGGCTAGATTATCGTGTCTCAACCTGAACAGCACACGCACCGCACGCCTTTGCGCGGTCTTGGAGCGAAAGATATGGGGGTCCACGAATGTGAACTTCTTCTGGGCTGCTACACAGTGGATGTTAGCGTTCCGTTAACCATGGATGATCCCTTTTGAAACACACTATTCGATGTGCCGATGGGTTTGCAGGTCTCCACGCACAGCCACATGTCAGGACGAGGTCAACAAGCCGGAAGAGGACTGCCATGTTTGAAGCCTCGCAGTTGCACGTTGCGTGACACCCTCTTTACAGTGATGTTGGGACCCCTTTCCCCGAGTTTTGATTGTGACGTGCGGATAGCGTTCTTGGCTTGATTTTTTGCGTCGTTAGTTTCTTCCAAGACCTAGGACACAGCTTCCTGTGTGAAGGGCTAAGACGGGACATTATCTATCCAATATGAACATGGACACCATACGACTTCACATGATGAATTGAAAGTCCTGAAGTCCGTTGCATACCAAGGATCAGCTCTGTTTGGGCCAACATGGGTGCGGGCAGTTTCTGTGCCTTCATGGAATATGATGATTGAGTGAGTTTGGTTGCAAATATTGCACCGATGAATTGCAGATCCACTTTCATGACCTGACATAAATTTGTGTGAAGACTTCACGATGACCTTGACGGCACGGCAAGATGCCTTGCAGTATTTGCAGGGTTGTTCACATTTGGTGGGAATGCTTCTCGCCAGAGTTGGACCAACTGCTGCATGCATCGGTTGTTTGAATGGTGACCGACGCTTCACAGCTTTCCAAGCTCTGCAACACATCTTGGTGGTTGTATCTCAACAAATACCCTCCAACCCGCCAACATGGGACTTGACTGGGGGGATCCTGGCTTGGACGATGTTCATCTCAGGGGCCCTCTGGTGTGCGGTTTGTGTGACCTCCCTTTGGCTTTTGTTTGGTTTCCTTCGGTTTTAAGCCATCCACAGAACGTGTTTTGTTCTTCCCAAAACAGGAACCACTTCAAAGTTTCAAAGGCTACCCTCATTGTAAAAGCGTCAAAGCAAAAACGGAAAGTGTCCTGAAACTCATCCTTTTAAACCATCCTCTCGCAGCTCGCGCAGCTCGCAGCGAGGAGTTGGACTTGACGCGGGCGGCTGCGCTGCTGGCGCTCCACGCAGATCCCACGGTGGATTTGGAGGCCAAGGTCTTCCA